TTTAGTAAAATGATAAAACAGTTTGTGTTCACTGCCCTCCAGTGGTCAGAATCAGGAACTACAACACAATATAAACTGTTTATAACCATCAGCCATGTTAATAATAAAATGCTGTTCATAAACACATTAGCATTAGTGTAAGTGTGTTTGATTTGTTTTTAATTCAACAACATATTTCACTGAATCAGTTTCAATTTAATTTTATTTATGTGGCGCATTCACAACAACTGTCCAATTATTTATCAGTTAGAAAAGCACAGAAATGGCGGTAAAGTATTTTAGAGACACTCTGGTAAAAGGTGGATGATGATGGAGCAGCGATATAAATCCTGAGAGGCTGATCAGGAAGTGGAAGCAGGTGTGCTGATCGTTGAGGAAGATCAGCTGATTGTCTGGCAGGTTTGGGTCTGACTGCAGTTCTTAATCTAACATTCAGTTGTGATTCTGTGAACACACACAAAATATAACTCACTAAATAAAGCCAATGAGAGAGGAATCCTTTACAGGAAAACTGAAGCTTCCTCATGTTTCATGTTTTCTAATCTGATCTCAAACAAATGGAACGTCCCATTTTAAACACGCATCTAACAAGCTGCTTATTTTTATCTTTACTCTCCAAAATCAGCCAAATAACCATCAAACTTGGGACGAGTATCATGTCAGCTTGTTTGTACATAAGGAAAAAGTTATATGCAAAACACTGAGTCAGACCAAAAGTAAATACATCACCACAAAGTCAACACAAGTCTTTGTTCACCCACAGACAGACTTTAACCAGCAAACATGTCAGGAAGAAAGCTGAACATCAGAGAGTCTGAGGGGAGGACGAGCATCTTTAAACCACTGATCAGGAAAGAAAAACTCTCAGCAGTGGCTCACATATATCAGCATTTCACAGAGAATGATGGAGAAAGAAAAACCCTGTTAATGATTAGTTGTAACAAACCGCGATGACGAAGAGAACGATGTCACAGTGTGTCAGAGCTCTGAGTTCAGGAGCTAAAAGCAGAACCAGAAAGTAGACAGGAAAAGGTTTGAGTTGACAGTGTACCACAATTTTTTTTTCTTCTAGATCTCAAGTTTCAATTATTAAATGCTGAAAAGTGTTTACATTATTTACTGAAATGAGTCAAAGGCAACGAACACAATCATTAAAAACAAGAACCCTAAAATAAGCAGTTCATTCATAAAAACATTTAAAAGCACCGCCATTAAAGAGAGTTCATGTCCTTTGGTGTTCAGACTACCCATATGGAAAAGATATATATAAATCTTATAAAGTTTGTGTCTGTCTTGTGTGAAACTTGTATGAAAAGCATATAAGAGTGAAAACAGATATAAGATCCCTTGAAAAATTATATAATGAAACTTGTATGTTTTGGATACTTACTAAAACAATG